TTGTTTTGCGATATCCGAAAATCTTTAAAATTAGCAGCTATCATCATCAAATTTAGCTATCCTTCACTATACATGTTTGGGCTATGAACACGAGCTTGGCGACTAACGACAGTTGTTCTTTAATTTTATCTTGCTTCAATATGCACTGAGACATTAAGCTTGAATTGTATTAGTTTAGTTATTTAGGGTAGATACTTAAGGTACCTTGTATTATGGCGAGTTGTTTTTTGATTTATCGCCAAGTGTTGTTTCATTTATGGTAGCCTAAGTATTTGAATGTTATGAAACCCTTTGTGCGTAACGGTGATGATTCTGGGAATTTTGAACATCGATGTTTTGTAAGCGTTTTTGTGGTGTGTGTTGGTTTCATTCTTTAGACGGTAGAATAGCCGGTTAGAGATTAATTTGAAGTTTCTGTACGATTTGGAGCGAAAGGGGAAAAGAGCTTTAATGACTGGTGTGTAATGAAGGTTTACTTAGTAGCCAATCATGTCCTGTATGTAGGAAGGTAGCGTCTAGATTCGAACGTAAAAACTGTTTAGATGGATTTGAATGGGTGTAGGAAGAAAGGTTTCGATGTCACTATGTAAGCGGTCGTCAGAAAGAGTACCTGGTTTGAAAAACTTCCTTTGAGTATATTGATATTTTGATTTTTACGTGCTCTGTGTACAAAGCGAACTCCAAAATCATGGTAGTGAATATTTGCTTTTGATAGTGCTAAATGTACACAATGTGTTTCCTTTTTAATGTTATTTTTGTTGTTTGGTTTAAAATGTATTTTATGAGATTATGTGTTTTTGTTCGCGTATATTGTAGAATTTGGTGCTCCTCTGATTTTTAAGTTAAATATATCGATGTGTATGAGTGCCGCAATGCAAGTTTGTGCAATTCGGATTTTTTTTTAAAAGTGAAAAAGGTCGCATGTACATGCATATATAAAGAGTGCGCAATGCCATTTTGTGCAATTCGAGGATTTTTTTTAAGTGAAATAGGTCGACGTGTACATGGATAAAGTCGAAGGGGTGCGCAAGCCATTTTTGTGCAATTCGGGATTTTTTTTAAGTGAAAATAAGCGAAGTGTACATGACACAAGTTTGTGCAATGTTTGTCTTGTATTGCGCCAAAAATCGCCGCTTTGCAGCCAAATAAGGGTCAAAGAATTGCACAAAACGGTATCCAGTACCGCCAAAAATTGCCAAGTTTCGCCAAGGGGTACCACTACTTTTAAACCGTTATATTGACTTATGTCTATTTCTTGCACATGCTTAAGGCTTATCAGAGTTCTGAATAAATAAATTCCCACATACTAAACGTATCTTTGGGTCTATGGTATCATTAACAGAATTATTTTTAGCCTATGCAAGAATTTTGTTAAATTTTTCCTCATCAACATTTTTCGTCATTAACTTATCTGTAATCATCGCCAGCGTAGTCAACATAAAGGTTACCAATCATTTATTACTCAATTACTAACATAAAAAATTTATAGGCTTTGCTACATGAGTCTTACTCAAGTTGTAATGCTTTGAAAACATGCGGTGAAAGGAAAGTATAATAAATATGATTCGCCAGGTGGTGTTAGATCAACGGTATTATGTGGAATGTTTTGGTTTGAGATGTGTGCCAAAGCAGATACGCAGCAATGGAGCCAAATTACTGATTGTACAAATTTATGCTAAAATATGTTTCTTCAATAAAAGGGCATTTTATTAGTGTCGAAAAAATTAAGAATCGGTACTCTCCAGATGTTTATTTTGCGCTGAGGGGAATTAAATGCACATGCGTAATGGAAAAAAGAATGAAAAATAAGTTGTTGGTTTTTTGAGATCGGATTTTAGATCATTCTGTCTAATCTGGGATTTCTCGTCTAGATTTCAGACTTTGTACTGTATGTAACTTAAAATAATTGCATGTGTTGTTGATGCAGTTTAATGTGTATGGTTAATGTAATTTTTAGTGAAATTTCATTCTGTTTCAGTTATAGCTTTACATAAAATTAATTACTTACTAAGACACTCGTACTGAAGCTCTTATGCCATCATGCAGATGTCTCTCCTTTCTTATTATCAGTCTTTAATAATATTTTTCCTTGTGAAATCCTGTAGTTTTAGACTTCACTAACTGAGACTTATAGAAACAAATTAGTAACTAAGTTGATAATGAGCCTTATATACACCCTATTACTCTGTATGAAATGCCATTGTCTTTAAAAATTTCAGTCTAAAAACTGGGTGTGTCTTATACAAAGTGGCACCAGTACCTGGGTGGTGGATGTCAAATGAAACCATGCATACTACAACACCTTCTTAAACACAAGCCTCCCTACTGAAGGCTCATAGTTTAGTGACGTCACAAACTGTTGGCCTTACTTCAAGGATTAACTTCAAGGATACCCAAGCATGATGACAACTTTGTAAAAAAAAGCAAACATAGTCTGATTACCTTTTGTATAAAATGAAATAAAACGATTTTCTTTCTAAGTAGCACAGTTTATCTTTAAAAACAATTTTCTAATGTTTAGAATTTGAAGAATTTGAAATAATATAATTTTGGTTGAATTCTGCAGTATTTGAATATCCAATTTAATCAATTTACAGAGCAAATTACATCCAAATTTTCATAATTTTTCTCACTTAAAATGAATGGCATAATCTATAAATGAGAATTAGTCTAAAAATGAGATGGCAGTGGTGTAAATAAGGATATGCAAAGATTGTTGTCAGATAGGGGCCCAAAGGTTTAGGGACCCCTTGAATGTCCTGCTGAACTACATTTATATGTTTAAACTTAAAAGGAGATGGATATACGTGATGAAATCTTCTTATCTTAATTTTAAGGCCCCGCCCCCCGCCTCTCATATGTATATATAGAGATATATATATACATATGATGCTATAGGTCCCTTGGAAGCATAATGCAGCTGGTATTTAGTGTTTGCATACACCCAACTTAACTGTATAAAAACAAAAAGCTCTATGCAATGTTTAATTGCCCTCTAGATGAGAGCTTTCAGTCATTAGTTATAACCGAAACCGACTGTTGCTCAAGTTTATTCAGGCTTAACTTCTAAATCAGAAATGCTGGAGCCATATAGAGGCTGTCAGGAGAAGAGAAAACTAAATAAATAAAATATCTACCGTATTTGATGGCATATAAGAGGCACCCTTATTTAAAGGCCACACACATGTGATGTAGGAAAAGTTACGTGTGTCTAGATCTTTATCTGTGCTTAAAATAGCATTCAGTATTGAAAGTTAACCTGTGTCCTTCACGTATAAAACGCAGGTAACTTTTTTGAGACCAAATTTAGGAAAAAAAGTGCGTCTTATATGCCGTCAAATACGGTAATAGTTTAAATAATTAAAATCAATAAAATATAAAGATATGAATAAACATTTAATAAATTATTAAATTCATAATAAATAGTTAACTAAAATATCGGATGTTGTCTTATCTGGGGATTTACATCTGGCTGGATTTACATTTTCATTCAAACAGTTTTATTCATTGGGTTGCCCAAGAGTTCTAGTTGCACCACTGACTCAAGGTGTACATTCTATATTTTGCATGTGTGTGCCAGTTCCAGGATGGAGGCAGTTATGTTTGTGATTTTCTTTACAAAGGATATACCCAGATTGTTCAAGTTCTTTTGTTTTATACTTCCATTATTTGGACAAAATGGCCATTCTTTCTTTAATTTTTTTGTTAATTTCATTCATTGGTGTAGTGGCAGTATGATCGGGGACCATTACAAGGAATGTTTCTCTTGTTTTGCAACAAATGTCTCCAAAAATCCACTGTGGAAGCAGCATTCTCCCGGTATTATTTTTGCATCACTTGAGCATGTTTTCGTCGATCTTCACAATGCATCCGTCAATGCCGATTTTCTTCTTTTCTGCTGCTGCCATTTCAAGAATGCAAATGTTCCGGGGATGCTTTGTTCCAATTCAGTACCATTTTGTCTGCTGTCACTAGTTGCTTTTTGCAAAACTTGAACAATGTTAGTACTTCACACCAGCGATATATGAAATGTAAAGCTGTTGTGAATTCCTTTGAACTGGTATCCTATATGCATTGTAATACTTTTTCGGCATGTATGGATGTTATACTTCCAAAAAATGTGATCTTCATTGATGTATAGCTTCATTGCATATGACAGTTCGCATTCTCGATTTTCCGGTAGTATGCCATAATTATGCAAATAGTGTACTGCCTTTGTTTCATTTCGAGATAAGCTCCAGTAAAGTACAAATTTTCTTGGACTTCAATTCTGAACCAATAGGGCCCACCAGCAGCTGAGCGGTAACATCACTGAATACTGGTAGTCAGTCTGAGATTCAAATGCCGGTGAACAGGCTGGCTGCATTGGCATTTTCATGGTTTTCCCCATCTATCACATGTATTACCCTTAGAAAGTCCTTCAGAAAGCCATCTCTCCCCTTAGGCAGATAGCCCTTGTGAGCTTTGCCATAATAAAATAAACCAAACAAAACTAAACGAATAGATAACTATCTAATAAACAACTAATCAGACAAGGTGCAAACACGGAAGTGTTCAGAATAGCATAGGGTGCCATAAACCGTGAAATATGTGTTGATTAATCATTGGGGTGAGGTTGACACTAAAGAGTCGTTTATTTTTGTGCAGTTTCAAATAATTTTGAGTTTCTAGCTTCTTGAATCCTAAGTATACTGCTATAAAACTTAACTTTTTTAACTTTGTAAATTTCTGGAATGAATCATAGTTTTAAATTAAATAATAAAAAACATACTCATTCTGTTTTTGTTGAAACGTAAAGCTGATAATGCATTTAAAAAATGTTCTTTAACTTGGATTGTGTTGCAGATTTGAATTGGGAAGGCAAACGGGTTTCAGTAGCCCTTTTTTGTGCGTGTATAGTGCATATATATTGTTTATTTTATTTAGAAATTTCTTTTTTATTCTGTAATGCTCTGTATTTCCCTTTAAGTAATTAAAAACTTAAATTGTTTAACTTTTAGGCCTCAGTCAGAAGACGGCAGGCGAGTTGGTCGAGAAAATCTTGGAAAATTAATAGAAAATGTATGTATCAAATGTAAATTATTATTTATTTGCATAAATAATTGTAATTACTTTCGGGGTGAGATTTGCATAGAGTGTTTTGGAATATAATATTTACTTTTTTATGTGGGGAGGGGGAAGAAACTGTGTAGTGTTTGCAAAGTGCTGTTATGATCAGAAGGTCATCACATATGTTCAAAATTTTCATAATTCGTAAAGCTGTATAAGTATAAGAGTAAGCAATTTTTGCATGTAATTTTTATTGAAAATACTGAGATACAAATTTATAAATTTTATATTTTGTAACATTTATGCATTTAGTACAGTAAAAAGTCCGAAATCGGAACTCGTCGGAACTTCGGCGACCCTGGATTTGGGATTTTTCCGGATATTAAATCGTTACTTTAAATCTAGTAAGATGGCATGCAAAAATTATGAAATTAAAAATATGAAATCGTGATTTATGAAATAATGAAGTATTTATGATCTAAAGGGTATGAAAATTTACAAGCAAAAGCTTAATATTTATTTGTTTACCTTATTAAACATTTCTTTCAATGTTAATTGTTTAAGTTGCTTCGTTTTTTGTGCTAATACCTTCTCTTTAATTCTGTAGACAGACATAATCTCTTGTTTAGTTACATTGTTGAAATCCTGTAACTGCTGTTTTGAGAATTCCAACTAACTTGTCAATTGAAATTTTCTCGTTTTCAGTAACTTCTCTGACACTTTCTTCACTATCGGTAGCGGTATTTTTTGGATTTAGTACCATACTACCGATTTTGCCTTTCATCCATTGATTGATGATTGAGAAGCATTGACCTCATGATGAAAAACATCTTTTATGTCATCTTCATTTATTACCCTTTGCAATATCCACATTTCTTTACAATATCCACTAATTGGAAAATTTCACCTTTGATTTGCAATATCCGAAAACCTTTAAAATTAGCGCGTCGCTCAAATCAGCATCCTTAACTAAATATACAAATTTAGCTTTATCATTCAGGACTCGTGGAATACATTGTACTTGGCTATGCATTGTGAGCTTGCCGACTAATGACAAGTTTTTCTGTTAAATTTTATCTTGTTTCTATCGTGCACTGAGACAATTAAGCCTGAATTGTATTAGTTTAGTTATTTATTATACTTATTTATATTTCTTGCACATGCTTAAGGCTTATGAGAGTTCTGAATAAATAAATTGCCACATATACTTAAGCTTTATTGAGGGCCAGGGCTAGATATCGTACCACCTGATGCAGTCTCTGTGGATCCTAAATTCTGCGACTTGGTGTCGCCATACGAGCCCTGGCACTGGTTCTGAGTTTATGTGAATAACAAATGAGTTATTCTTAATTCAAATAGCCCTAAATTTAATCTGTGGGTCTATGAGTATCATCAACAAAATTTATTTTTAACATACGCAAAGAAATTTTTGGTAAATTTTTCCCTGTCAATATTTTTTAGCGCATTTAACTTAAATCTGTAATCATCGCCAAGCGTAACATCAACATAAAAGGTTACCACACTCCTTTATTATTCAATTACTAACATAAAAAATTGTTAAGGTATTTCTACATGAGTCATTACTCAATTTGTCATGTTTTGATAAACATGCGGTCATGAAAGGAAAGTATAATAATGATTTGCCAGGTTGGGGTCAGATCAATGATGTATCTATGTGGAATGCTTCGGTTTGAGATGTATGCCAAGCAGATAGCAGCAACTGAGCAAAATATACTGATCATACAAATTTATGCTAAAATGATTGTTTCTTTAATAACAAGGTATTTTATTTAGTGTCGAAGTGAAATTAAGAATTGGGACTCTCCAGATGTTTTATTATGTGCGGAGGGGGGAATTAAATGCGCATGCATAAAGCCTGCAAGAAAAATGTTGTTGGTGGTTGAGGTCCGGATTTTAGATCATTCCGAATATTGGACATCCGGATTTCGGATTTTGTAATGTATAATGTCATATGAAATAAAATAACGATGGTAACTGGTATTATATTTTAAATTATTGAGTTAATTTTGACAAATTATAGTTTCATATTTTTATTAATATTTAGCTATGAAGCAGTGGCTAATTATATTTATATGTGTTATTTTGTTTGAAAAATTAAAATCTAAAAGGTTTAATGATTTCAAGCTCTGCAAGGGCAGTGATTTCTTTCTTGGAGGATATGTTATGTTCTCGTGGGCTGCTATATTGATAAATAGCAAAGTATGAGGATTTAGAACATAGTTACCTACCCTTTTCTTAGTGTACTCTTAAAAGTTTCCATATTTGAGTTCAATGCTCCTTTTTCCCCCCTCTTTTGTAATGCCTTATTCAGCCAAACTATCTCTATATTTTACATGAGGGGAAGTATTTATCAGTTTCGAATCTTGGAAAAAGAGAATCAAAATAAAATGAGGAAGTGAAGTTTTAAAGCTAGCTATTAAAATAAAGCAAAAAAAGGTGAAATTATGCAGAATAAATTAAAATGTATTAAAAATTATTATTGGCAAGTTTACACTTCTCATGTGGTGACAGGATGTTTTTTAATATTTGGACCATATTTTGGAATTTTCCCTCTGTTCTAAAAATGGCAAGTGCTTAATAACTTTTTCTGGATTGTGTTATTTCTATATTAATCCATATCATATGACTTCACATGATGATGACATAGCTAATTAGGAACTTGAAAATTTGGGAACCAATATCTTTCTTCCTTCTATTAATAAGCTTCCATACTTTATAACTACACATTTTGCTTCTACCTGTCTTGACTCTAAGACGCTGCCATGCTGCTTTCATTCTATCATAATAGTATAAAAAATGTAAACATTCTGGAAATGTGTGGTGCTCAAGCCTTTGCCAATGACAGGCACAGTCTTGTTTTCCTTCTCATGATGAATTTTGTGGGCTTGTTCTGATGCTGCTGTCGCACAAGTGAGGTAAATCACAACAACAGTGCAATAGAGAGTCCAAGTGAATTGTGGCCACAAATGTCAATTGAAACAAAAATTAATATTCAGTCTGTCTTGGCTGCGAAGTTTACTCTTCATAACGGATCAATATTTGTACAATGTTTACATCTAAGTCTGCTTCATTACATATATGTACCTTAAACTATTTGAATTTATTATGTTGTTTTTAAATTACTGTTTCTCAAGATATTAATTCATACAACATGAAGTGTGGAATTTTTGAGTTGCCTAGGTTTTTATTGATTTTTTTTTTTTGGACTGAAGTTTTAACCATCCCCTTAAAAATGAATGGAAACAAGACAAATACGTTCCATACTAAGCTTATTAGCTACTAATTTATACTTGTTTTTCCAACTTACCATTTTGATACTGTCATTTAACCCTTAAAATATGGAAGTAATTTGATGTATAAAATTTATCACACTTTTGTTGTTCATTTGGGGGGGTTGGTCCTTATTGTTTTTGAAAGTGTAAGAATTTCAGAAATAATTTGCAACAATTACTGCTGCATTTGCATAAAATTATAATTTATTGAATGACTAAATTTGTTTTTGATTTAGTTAACTTCGTTAACCTAATGTTACTACACTATCTATATATGTGTGCATATATATGTATGTATACATACATCTATATATGCAAACATAAATGTTATACACACACACAATATTGTAGTATCACAATATGTGTTCGCATAATATGTATAACAAAATATTGTAGCTGCTTCAGGAATAATTGGTGGCCTCAAAATTAACTAATCTAGATTTAATACTCTCCACCTAAATTCTTCTGTTCCCCCAAATTCAAGATCTTTCCATGTTATGTAACATTGCTTGAAAAAGGTAACTAAAACTAAAATTAACTAATCATAGATTGTCTCTACAATTGCATGTACTTTGGAATAAATACCGCCCACGAGTTAATCATGTCATTCCTTTCCCTAGCTTCCACCCTCAAAGAGCTCTGTGCCGCTTATGCTGTCTGAAATGCTTAGGTCCTATTTTTAAAAAACGATGTACATGGAAATTATTGTGTTCCCACTGTGATTAAGAAATATCGTATCTGCAAAAAGGATGATTTTTGATATGTGTGAAAATAAAGAGTGGTGATTTGTAGAAATCTAGTTTTGTTATCTTTTTCAGTATACATTCAACCCTCAGCCATGATGGATATCAAAAGCTGTTAAAAGTTCTAGTGTTTTCTACTGCACTTTAAATTATGACAGCTTAAAAGTTGCCTAGGATGATAACACAGTGAGTTTCCCCAATTGGATTTTTGAGCTCCTAACAATATCCAGTGACTGGACTGCAAAAACAAAAATTAAAGAGTGAGTAATGCATGCGTGAAGGTCATCAGACTTTATATTTGCTGTGTTCCTTCATTCACCTGTTATGTAACATGATTTATTTGTGATGAAGACTCCGAGGATTTTCTGCTAGTGCGGTGGGTTTTTCTGTGTCAAGGCCATGTTTATAGTTGAAAAAAAAAAAATGATGTGTTAAGCGTCTCAGCGATTTTGTGTGTTTGCGTGTAATGAAAAATGTGCACATCTTCTGTGAGATTCTAACGGAGTTTATAGTCAAAAAAGTGTCAGCGAGTGTTCAAGTATCAGTGCTTCAAAATTTTTTCCAAAGTGTATTTGGTACAAATTCATCGAAAAAAGTGTTTTAATGTAAATTTTTCAGTGTTATGATATGCGTAGATTCAATATCGTGATCATTGCTTCCAAAAAAAAATTGTTGTTTCAGAGGTAATTAGTGTAAATTCTTCAGAAATTTCAGTGCAAAGTGATCAGTGTGATTTATTTTCGTGTTTTCGTGTAATGTTAATTCTCAATCGTGTGTGCGACTATTAATTATGCAAACTAGATCTAAAACAAAAATGGCTACAGAAAAAAGTGAACTTGCGACTGTTAGTATTGATAAATTTCTGTGTGCCATATTTGATGGAGAAAATTCGGATTTACCTATGAATAAATATTTTTAACTATTTAGAAAATAAGTGTCATAATAAGAATATTGGAGACAAGGACAAATCATTAGTATTTTCTGAATGCCTCCGTAGGAAGGCTTTATCATTTTATTTAAGACAGTCTGTTGAATTGGATTGGCAATCTGTAAAAAACAAATTCCTTACATATTTCTCCACCAATCCAATGACATCGACAAGTATTATCTACGATTTTACTTTATTTATTTATGACTTCGACTTTAAAATTAGATTATAAAATAATAATTCAATCATTGAAATTGGGTCTTCCCGAGCACCAGTAAATGTGTGCAAAATGTCATCAATTTAAACGGTTATTGGCAACTCCCAGATAAAGTGTGTCACTAAATGTTTTCGAACCAAGATTTTACCAGTCTCGGTATCATGCTCCTTGGCTTATGAAAAGAAAGTTTTGGTTAAAGTAGTTCAAAATTAGCTTCATCATCAGCATTATGCAAGTTATATGACATGGATTAATCTAGAAATGACGCACTCCAGAAATTATTACATATATGTGGCAGCACACTACAGTAGAAGTCCATTAGTCCGGCATCCAACAGTTCGGAATGCCCGATAGTCGGCATCGCTCCGGAAAATTGTAAAAATTTTGGTTTTCTCCAAAAGTGTGTCTTTAAAGCAAATAAAACCGCTCGAGAGCTATTCGGAATTTTCGGGGTAGTTCGAGATCCGGAAAGCTCGGTATTGTTCGAAACAATAGCGGCGGCTAGCGGCTGCACAAGAATTCAGGTGCACAGGCAGCTCCGTAAATCACAAAGCGTCCATTTTTTTTTTGTGCGTTGTTGTTTTGGTCCTTTCACATCGCAGTAAACGTAACTTGAAACTGTTTATAAAAAAATGTGATTTTCGTTCACTGTACAGTGAACATGTTTTCAAACCTAAAGCCTTCGAGTTCAAAGGAGAGAACGAAAACACGTAACACTGACTTCTCAAACTAGAAATCATCAAACGGCAGAAAAGCAGAATAGAAATGTTTAATGAATGAGTTAATATTGGCTCTCAACTATTTATGACATAAAAAATAAAAAGATGAACTAATGAATTTGCTTCTCAATCGGTACAACTGAAAAATGACGATGACGATCCGGTGATGATGAGGACTTTATCAACATTGTATGAAACCCTCAGACTACTCAAAATCTTGAGAAAATGACTCAGTGCCGAAACGGAAGAAAACAAAAAAAGCAGCTGGGCGAAGCTGCGAATCACTAAATAGTTTTCTCTTTTCGAGGCTTATAGCACAGTGCTTCAGAATTATGATTTCCATATATTAAAATAAATTTTATACTAAACGCCAAAAGTCAAGAAACAAAAGACATTCGTGCTTTTTAAATCTAGTGAATATTTTACAGTAGTGACATACATTATCTGAATGTAAAACAAACTTTGTGTATTATTGCATATGTATTTTTAGCTTAATATAACCTAATTTTCTTATAATTAACCCGATAGACGGAATTTTCGGTAGTCCGGCACGAGCGGTCCGAACGTGCCGGTATCGCTTCTATGTGTTGCTTGTGACGAAGTGAAATATCACCAGTTGATGTTGGTTGTAATAAACATGTGCTATGGTGAGCCTGTAGAAGGGCATTATTTATTGATAGTAATATTAATATGAATGTCATGTGGCGTAGTCGTGTGGAATAGTATTACAATTAATTGCCAGGCAGTCCCTTTAGTTGTTTTACCTCTCGGCAGACGCAAGGTGGAATTTTGTCGCCCCTGCAAGGCCTAAGTTTTGATGACAATGTGGCCGAAAACTGGCGCAGATTCAAGCAGCTGTTCCAGATTTATATGAAAGATTCATATGTGAAAGTTGCTTTATTTTAAAACGTAGCTGGTGAGGAAGCAGTAGAAGTGTTTAACACGCTCAGCTTTCACGGGCAAATCGGGCAATATGAAAAAGTGCTTGAAAGTTTGACGTTCAATGCTAAATAAATGTGTGGTGGAGAAATTTTTATTCAATAATAGAAACAAGAAGCAGGGAACTTTTTATTGTTTCTTGTCTGACCTGAAAAACTGGTACAATCTTGTGAATTTGGTGAGCAGAAGATGACAATGCGTACATCATGCATGTCCTTGAGTACAGATACCAGTTTAAGGAGAGGATGCTGCAGAAAATAATCTGAGTTTGGAAAGAAAAAGCCATGCAATGATTAGGGAAAGCTGCTGATTGCAAAGCTCGTGCTCAAAATTAGATAACCAATGTGACAGCGTACTATAGGGAAATGAAGCAACATCAGCGGAGAGTTATCAGCCGTACCAGTGAGGAAGCACAGAGGATGAGTGTGATGCTTCAATACTGCGATGTTTGTGTAAAAATGTAACAACATCATGTTAATGGCAAGGTCCAGCATATGAAAATTTCTTAATTGTGGCAAACTTATCACTTTTAACTATTGCGACTGAAACATGTCAAAATGTTCTCAGCATATAGCAGATGTATATAGTGATCTTGATGACGATTCTTGTGAATTCAGAAATGTCCAAAAAGCTAAAGTGTATGCTCACATCGTGTACAAAAGAGTGATTAAACTATAATTGTTGAAGAACAAGGTGACTTTTTATTTGGACACAGGGTCTGAAGTGATTGTTTGCCCGTGAAAATTTCGAAATGTGTACTAGAACTTATCTTATTGTAAACAGTGTAATGTTGTATTAGAAGATTTGGGGGTCCAAGGTAAACTGATTGTCGTCAATGTACAATGTTCTAAGATGTGAGGATCATCTTCTAGAGTTTTTAATTGTTCTAGTAAGCATATACGTCCATATTAGACTTATGCAATGTTTAAATATTTGATTCAGTATAAATAAGTTGGAATATCAAACAAAGGAAAGTTGGATCAGTATAAATTGTTACCCTCCATCTAAAGATCAATTTAGTATTATAATCAGAAGTTTGAGTGTGGGAAATTAATGATTGGTAAAATAAAATCGATGATCAATACTCCTGTATTGAACCACACTAGATTACCCTTAGTTACAACTGAACTTGAATTAAATGAAATGAATAGATCGACGGGCATTATTGCAAAAGTTGCACCCTTAATTAGGTTGCAATCGATATAATAAAAAAGCTGGTGGATCTTAAAATATGCCGTATCCTCGAGATCTTACAAAGCTATAAAAAAGAGAAACATGTGTGATTCCAACAATTGAGGAGCACCAATCTAACTCGAGAGAAAGAGTCCTGCGCGAATTCATTCTAACCCGGATATTATCATTTCAAAGGCCAACAAAGGTGGCCAGATAGTGTCATGGATAAGAACACTTACATCGATGGTGTCACTAAACTCTTAAACGAAGGACATATAATCCGATCCCTAAAGATCCTTCACCTTCGGACTTATCCAAATAAAAAACTGCGATCAAATCTTGCAAATCATTTCAAAACTTAAACATTCGCTTATCCCATCGTTGCGAATTGTGCCAGATTATATGCTCTTCCCAAAATTCATAAAGTGTATTCCTTTCCGCCCTATTGTATCAAATTAGGTACTGCCTCGTATCCTTTAGCTAAATATTTAGTTTCTAGATTTTCCACTCTATTAGACAATAACATTTACACCATAAAAAATTCAATAGAGTTTGTAAAAAAGGTTAAAAACATTTCTCCTCGAATTTACTCATGGTTTCTTTTGATGTAAAATCATTATTCACCAATGTCCCAGTGGAGGTGCATTAAGATGTCTAGAAACCAGACTTCGCGAATTTCATTTCTCTTGCATCGAAATTGAGGAACTAATTTCTCTCACTCAACTCTGTTTGAAACAAACACACTTTGTTTTCCAAAATAAATATTACAAACAAACTGAGGGATTAGCCATGGAAGCCCCCTCAGTCCCATCCTGGCTGATATCTACATGCATTATTATGAATCAAAATTGTTTGAAACTTTAAACTTCCCGGCATGGTTCCGCTACGTAGACGATACTTTTACCCTGTTTGAAGGTAATAAAGATGATTTAAATAAAGTTCTTTCAACAATGAATTCTATTGATCCTGCTATTCAGTTCACTTTTGAACTTGAGACTTGCAATTCTCTTCCGTTTCTCGACATTCTGGTCACACGTAACACATCCAACTTCAGTACTACAGTTTACCGTAAACCTTCATCGGTTTGCCTTCCACCACACTTTAAATCATGTCATCCGACTAAACAAAAGTTAGCTTCATTTTATTCCTATGTTTTCCGTGCTCTTCAAGTTTGCTCCTCCAAACTAGCCCTTGATGAAGAACTAAATTATTTAAAAGCAATAGCTATTGACAGGGGGCTTTTCACCCAACATTATTAATCAAGCAGTTAAAAAATTCTCATCTCAACACACTAAAAGCCACACTCTTATTTTAGGAGATTATAAAAATTCTGTTGTCATTCCCTTCTTTCCATCAATTAGCTATAAAGTTGCACATATTTTGCAGAAATTTAACTTTCGGGTTGTTTATTCTCCCATCAATAAAATTCCGAGTTCCATACTCAAGGACCCCATTCCGGATATGAATTCCTGGGGTATTTATAGGATTCCTTGCCAGTGTGGTTTAATTTACATTGGCCAAACTAAGAGAGCCTTAAAATTTTCGCGTCAAGGAACATGAGGCATATGTTAGAAAAAAGGAAACACAGAAGTCTTCTGTTGCTCAACATTGTTGGTCCGAAAATCACACTTTCAGTTTTTCTGCTGCCAAAATTATTCAAAAAACATCTTCCATTGGAGAACTGGATTTTCTAGAGGCATTTCACATTCATAAAAATCTTTCTGTTCTAGTTAACGATCCTAATTCCAATCCAAATTTGCCTTCGGCTTTTAGAGAAATTATGTTTTAGTTCTGGTTTCGCCAACAGATGGCGCCACTTGCTTATTCTTGTTCAGGCTTTCTTATCTTATCTAATCATTATTTCCTATCTTGTTCATTTGCGGTTTTGCAGCTGAGGGATGGATGGTTCGGCAAAACCATCGAAACTAGTCCTGTGAAAATTTTGAAAATATAACGCTGGATTTTTGTTGTTTGACTTCTGAATTAATATTTGTTGGACGTGTTATTGTGTCTTAATTGAGGAGAATTTACCAAAGCTATGTAATAAATGAGTTTACTCTGTTTTGGACTTAAAGGATTTTTTTTTTTTTCCAAATAGCGTTAAATGGGGATAGTAGTGATCTTTGTACTTTTAGCACACAATTTGGATGCTATAAATTCTTAAGGCTTCCAATGGGTATTTCCTGTGGACCAGAAATTTTTCAGAAATGCAATCTTGAAAATTTTGGTAATATATATACCAGGAGTATTGATCTATTTTGATGATATCCTCATTGCTTCTAGCACCATACAACAACATGATAACAATTTAACAGAGGTCATCAACAGAGCTAAAAAACTCAATATTAAATCCAACAAACAAAAATTTCAATATAGTGAAAAGTTTTTAATCCGGACTCGTCAGGATTTCGGCGATTCCGGATTATCGGTTTTCCGGATTATAGATCATCAGTTTAAATCTGGTAAGATGGCATGCAGAAATTATAAAATTAAAAATATGAAACCGTAATTTATGAAATAAAGAGCAATTATGATCTAAAGGGTATCAAAATTTACAAAAAAAAAAGCTTAATATTTATTTGTTTACTTTATTAAACATTTCTTTCAACG